ATATCTGTCAGTTAACTAACTAATCCATGTAAAGTTACACAAATACTTTTTTTTGCTGTTAATGTCACTAATTTTACATAATCTTATAAATGTATTAACAATATTAAACTTGAATTTAACAATTTTATCTGTTAAATAAAGGGTAAATATCAGTAAAATTATAGATTTGCAAAAGTATTTAACTTCATTTAATTTTCTTATAATGATCATTAATTATTTGATTATTTACAGATCTTTCATCTTAGTTTACATACTGAATAAATATGTAAAATAAACCTGTAAAGTTCCCACTGATCAACACCTGACTGCTGAAAGGATCAGTTAAGTAATAATCAATAATTACAGGTATTATATGTGAGGCTGTGATCAGTCAGGGGTCCTCACCCTTTCCTCACCCTTTCCTCTCACCTGTATTCAAAGTGACCAGTGAGTGACCTCCCCAGAGAGAGGGAGGGAGGGAGGGAGGGAGGGAGGGAGATAGGGGGAGAATGTTAATGCCGAGCAACATGAAGACGGTGACATATCTGCAGACGGAAAAGACAAAAACAAGCAACAGAGAAGGGATGAAAGAGGAGGGAGAGACACCACGGTGAGAATAAAGGCTGCAGGAGTGAGTGGCAGGTGAGATAGGACAGTGAAGGAGAGAGGGGGTGAGGTAGAGGGGTGAGGAGCATTTTCTGTGTCTTCATTAGCATACTCCACTGTGCTTTTCCCTCAACTTAACTCTCCAACGCTGAGTCTCGCCAGTAATCCCACTGTGACTGAATATCAGTCACTGGACGAGCACCAGATTTCACTTTCAAGTGGGAGAATGTTTCCACTGATAAATGTTGCTTCCCCCTGAATTAAACATGACTACAGCGGCTCCACAGTGCAGCAGCAGCCAGCTGAAACTCCTACAGAATGAATGCACTCACTGTAGCCAGGAATAATGAAAGACAGTGAGATTGCTGCCAAACGTATGGGCCTCTTCATTATCCTTTTATTGTATCTTAATTATACTTGGCAGTTAGAGATCAGGATTTATTATCTCCTAACTATGATTCATGATTTAATATTCTTAGAATTACAGAAAACTTGGTGATTTAGAATTTTTATATCTATATATATATATGTATATATATGGTCCTATTATTATTACGTATTATATCTTATATGAAGTCACACTTTAGACTTTGTGTTGCATAATATGGCTTCCAAATCATGACTAATGTCACTAATTCAAGAAATTGCCAAGAAATTCAAGGTAGTTTTATATTTTCTAACCTTTCCTCCGGGAAGTTGCGATTGAAGCAATTCATCCAATCGCTGTGAAAACTGCACTACCTTATATTTTTGTCCAAGAAGTCATAATTATTAGATAAAAGGGACTTTTAATCTCATAATTTTGTCTTAACATGAACATTTTTTCATCAAGGGAAAATTTTCATCTCATTTTTTTATTTTACTGGCAGATTCCAGATTCCTCCCCAGGAGGACACAAACGCTGCCTTCAATGAACCCGGGATTTCTTGCTGCTCCATTTTAGCTAGGCTACCATTTACGAGAGCTAACTGACTGAGCCAGTAGCTTCACTGCTTGCTGCCTTTGTGTTTTACAGAAGCAAGAATCTGCGAACGGCAAGTCCAGCAGGAAACAACAAATGTAAACAAATTTTTTTTTTAGAAGTTGTGAACCCACTTGTTAGAATTGGAGTTCTCATTTCTCATGTGAAGAGATTTTTTCCCTCCAACCCCTAGTGATTTTATTCTCCCTGGAACAAGTTAGCCATTGATTTTTAATTAATTATATTACAAGAAAAATACCTAAAAACATCCATACAGATATTTTAGGCTGCAATAATCCCCTGAAAAAGCCTGAGAAATCCTGGATGTAATATCTAACTATGACTTTGTTTTGATTATTTTGTGTCACAAATATGTTTGGGTACCGAATCGCCAATACAACCGATATCAGACTGAACACACTCAGATCGTTTGTGGCCTCGTTTCGGAGGAGCGGTTGTTAATATCTGGTTATCAGAACTGTAACTGTAAGAGTCAAATTATTGCAGTTAGGTTGTATTTATAATGTGAATTTGTTACCTGTGTTGTATTTATTCATATTTATTTTTTAAATATATTTTAGTATAGTTTGTTATAACAATATATTGTTTTTTAATGTCGATGAGAGTTAGCAGCCCTAAAATTAAATGTCCTCAAGAATGTATTTAATTAGTTTCCAGTTTCTGTTACTTTCTACTTGTCTGACAGTTTTAGTTACGATTACTTTTCTGATTCTGATTCTGAAAGATTTGAGACAGAAATTAAGATTAACCTTTAAGACTACGTCCCTTCAACCAGTGGATCCCAACAGTTTTGGCTTGTAGCTTCTAATAGACATAATAATGTCTATTATCTAATTCATCTGCAGTTTATCTGGTGACATTTTGGGGGTTATGTTCCTTATAGCAGCTTCAAGTAAAAGATCTGAATACTTGGTGACTTATGAGTTTATTATTATGACTCAGGTTGGCACAAACTCCTACATTCCTGATGGATTACCAAATAACACTGAATTTCTCCAGTTGACCTCCGAGTCGAGGAGAAAAATGTAATGTTTGCCACTGTGATGACTCTCCGGAGGTGTGAAGTCCTGTCTCATGTCTCATACATTACTGTGCAGTGTTTCAGTGTCTGTAACTCAACCTGCGTTTATTTTCTCAGCAGCTCCTGCAGACAAACACCAGTGTGGTTGTTTGCACCCGACTGATGGTTAACACTAACATTAATGTGAGAATTTATTTCCTTAATTTTATCTTGGAGTACGGCAGGATGCATGAATCAGCTCTTCTCCTTCTGCTCACAGCAGCACATCCAAAGCCTCTGAGGGGAGAATCCTGCAAAACACAGCACATTTCAGCTTAATACGCCGCATCCCGACACACAAACATACACAAGAAGTTCTTATTAACTGCACACAAAGTAAGAAAGCAACAAATCCCCCAAAAACAAAGTGACCGTTACATAAATGATTCATATCTAATCTGGTGCGTAGAGTCATTCTGCAGTCTGATCAGCCTCCTCACTGTCTTCACACTCTTCACTTTAGATATTAGGCTGTACTTCAGCGTCGTTATGGACCCCGCAGAGCTTTTTAAACAGGAAACACTTACACACACAGAGTATCTCCACCCACCATCACTTTCTCACACTGCTTCACTACTCTTCACTTCCTTCAACATTTGATTGGTTCTCTCCCTTCATGATCACCGCTGACAAAGGTCTTCAGGTGGAAACTCGTCTGATAGTTGAAGTTTAACATTTGGACCAACGAGGAGTTCACTTCCCTTTAACACCTTCAGGATACATTTAAATGGTCTGACAGCAGTGCTCTTTCAGTGAGGTGGTTCTGCCTCCATTTACTCAAGTACCAATCTGTACTTTATTACACTGTAAAACAACATGTCTTAATAAAAGATCAAATTAACATAAACTCACTCATTCACATAAAACCCAACTCATAATTAATTGTTGAAGTAACTCAGTTGCTTTGAGTGAAGTTATCAGCCGATACTCTGATTAGTTTGATCTGCGATCATTAAAAACGCAGATGAGGAGAGTCGATCAGATGATGCATTTATTTTATTCCACAGTGTTCAGCAGACAGTTCGCTATGTTGGTGGGAGTTACGTCTCGTGAGTGACTTTATGAAACTGCAGACCAACGAACTAACAGAACAGACACACACAGCCTGAGTTACGTAATCAGGATACAATAAAAAAGGTAACCGTAATCTATGACAGAGAAGGAAAAGACCAAGTGCACAAAGTATAAAGTACAAGATAAGTTACTGCACTATAAACAGAAGGCTCACAGCCCCCCCAACACTGGACCTTTATATTATTATATATATTATGGTAAAAAACATCATATTGAGATTATTATGACAGATATTGCGATTGAGTCACTATTAGTGGGAATGATCATGTTTGCATCACAAATTAAATTTTCACTTGATTGATGATGACGATGATGTAACATTTTTACCAAAGAAACATGTTTTCTTACATCTGGAGAAGATCTGTAGGCAGCTTCATTATAACGCTGCTGCTCACGTATTCTACCTTCAGCAGAGGCTTCTTCAGTTTGAATATTACACTTATACTCAAGTTTGATAATATTGTGATTAATTGTACGCACTCTAAAAAGTAATTCAGTGGTATTGTTGTCACCACTTGAATAAATGCCAGGTTGAAAGATAAAACCTGATTTATTGATGTAGATTTATAACCTTTTAAGTTGCAAACATTTTCTGAGTAGCCTAATAAACATAAAAACTTTATGCTACTGATTGTTAAGTAATTCAAAAATACCTTTAGTTGTAGAGCAAAAGCTAATTGAACAGTTGCCACAACTCAAAAAGATTGAGATTGCATTAATTGTTGTTGTTTTGCTGTTTTTAGAGTGTATTAAGCTCTGACTGGGGTTCAGCACTCTGAGCTGTACGCTGGATGTCTCCGTGCAGGTGAAGCAGGTGGAAATATTTTCCTCTCAGAGGTTCAAGTGTTCAGGCTGGAGGCTGCAGGGAGGGCAGGAATATGGAAACCTCATTAGGGAGCTGTCTTTGCACCCTTTGGTGGTTCAGGTCCAGTATCTGACTCCTGTATCTATAGTTATATCTCCACAGTGTTAGTTAAACTGCCTGCGACGGCTCTGGCCTCTGTGATTCCCATACACATTCAATTTCTGTCCTCTTTTTATGTGTTGGACACTCACACGCCCAGTCCTCATTAAACACCTGCTGTCAGTTACCTGCAGCCGGCCGTCGAGGCTGCTGTCGGGGATAAATTGTGTCAGACCTGCTGGAAGAAAGGAAATAAGCCCGACTGTGTGTTTCCATTAACATCAGGAATCGAACGGTCGAGTCAGAGCGAGCGCAGGTTTCTCGTAATGACTCCCAGCTGCTGCAGAGACAGTTCGGTGAGAAAGAGAGAGAAATGTTCGATTGTCAGATTTACACAAACATGATGTGTCTGCTCGGCTTTGAGCTTCCAGTCGGGGTGATTCTCTATCTTCTTCCTCTGTGCCACAGAGCTCCACTGTCCATTAAAAACAATCAGTGTTCCTTCATCACCATGATCACACTGGAGTTTATTTCTATACCGTCCTGCTGACACAGGAGCAGTGGCTAGAAAACATAAAAAAAATATACACAGTAGTTTGTTTCACTTCTGTGAAGAAAAAGAAATGTCAACTGTCTAATAGAACAATGTCAGGGACAAGACAACACTGAACCTGTCGAAAAAGAAGCCTATGAAGTCTGTTTGATGTATGAAAATGATAAAAATACAGAATACA